CGTATCGTGCAAGAGAGAGGCAGGTTAAAAAGTAGGTTATCGTTAGAACGAGGCCATCGACGTATAATGTGGTGTAGCGGTTAGTCTCTCACTGTCACATGTGTTCGAATCCCTAGGAGGGAAAATCTTTATCACGCTTCATAATAGTCTTTCCACTGGGATGTTGTATCCTTCTTAGCCCTTTCCGAAGCCCGCCTCCTAAATGATCTGAGCCGTGTCGACGGGGGTGTAAACCACCTACATTTTTTTAAAGGCAGCGTGTATGTGTGTGGAGCTTATAAACATTATCGACATTTCAGCGTTAGTCTGACACTCTTTTTGCCCTTTTGACTCCCTTTTTTATTTCTATGGTGTTGAATTTTTTAAAGACGTGAAGCCAAAAAACGGGACATACGTGACTCAGGCAAATAGCATTCACCGTATTATTATTACTATTATTATAGAGTAAGATCAAATTAATTTTAATGATTGCATTCCGTTTATTGTATTTGTTTTTTTTTCTTCCTTTTTTTTGTTGTTGTTGTATTTTCAGGTTTTAAAACGTCCCTCCTTTCTTAAAAATCTATTGCCGGTTTAAATATGTGCTTTTCTTAACTTTCAGTTTATTAAGTATACAGCGGCTTTTTCGAATATCGACTAATTCCAAGTTTATTTTTATGTAATCTATTTGATAAATCGGGAGGAGAACATGAAATTAACGTGCTAGTGTTTCTAGCAGGAGATGGGTAAGGCTAAGAAGTAGGTTATTGTGAAAACAAGGACAAGCTGAAAGCTTCGTGCTTGACATGGGGACACACAAAAAGAACTCTGACTTTTTTTAGGGTGCGCGTTCTGGTTAATTAAGAGCGCTGGACGAAGTGCTGTTCTCCGGCACCGGAAAAAAAAGAAACTTGACTCCCTTATTCAGACAGGTTTTAAAAAAATTGTTTATCCGAAGCTTTATTGGAAACACACACACACACACACACACACACACACACACACACACACACACACACATGCACACACCTACACACACCTACACACATACACACACACACACACACACACACACACACACACACATGCAAGCACACACACACACACGCACACACATGCACACATACACGCATATGCAAGCACACACACTCACGCACACACACACGCACACACTCCACGCATACACACACACTCACGCATGCGCGTGGGCACGCACACACACACACACACACGCAACACACACACACACGCCCACACACTCATACACACACACGCGGGCTCGAGGTCTGTGACTTAACTTCTTAGATAGCCATTCTTATAACCTTCGATCGTAGTTTGTTTGAAAATTATTATCTTAGTTAAGCAGTTTCCTGGAAAGCACACTATGTTGGGGCCTTTATGGGTCGTTTAAACATCATTCACTAGATCGACAGGTAATAATACTTGTAGACTACATTGTCATATTAGTTTAAGAGTAATAATAATAAATAATAAATTATAATAATAATAAATAATAATAAATGGCATTTATATAGCGCATTTCGCCAAAGAAGTGCTCAATGCGCTGTACAATAATACAAAGAACATATTATGAAGCCTACAGTCCTATGGTAATCCCCCCCCCCCTCTCTCTCTCTCTCTCTCTCTCTCTCTCTCTCTCTCTCTCTCTCTCTCTCTTTCTCTCTCTCTCTCTCACTCACTCACTCACTAGTCTCACTCTGTCTCTCTCTCTCTCCCTCTCTCTCTCACTCTCTCTCTTTCTCTCTTTCTCTTTCTCTCTCTCTCTCTCTCTCTCTCTCTCTCTCTCTCTCTCTCTATATATATATATATATATATATATATATATATATCTCCAGTACATCCTTGAGTAAAGACAATCCCACAAAGCTTACCCAGACACCCCCACACACATTGATTAATTCACACAGTCATAAATTCTTACAGAACAGAACAGCATGAATAAACGATACTGAGAGAACATAATAGATTACTGAGAGACCATAATCATATTTGTATTGGGACTATGTTCTAAAAAAACAATACTCCCGTTTTAGATAGACAGATAGATAGAAATAAATAGGAAAGCAAAACTAATATGCATTAAGAATTCGTAAGAACAGAAAAATAGAGTGACAGATATCATATACAAGAAATAAATTGGAAAGCAGAACGTATATGCAATAAGAATTTATGATTACAGGTAGACAGACAGGCAGGCAGACAGGCAGATAGATAGATAGCTGAAATAAATATGAAAGCAGGACTGTTATACAATAAAGATTTATAAGAACAGGTAGGCAGACAGACAGATAGATAGCAGAAATAAATATGAAAGCAGAACTATTACACAATAACAATTCATAAGTACAGATAGGCAGACAACAGATACATAGCAGAAATAAATAGGAAATCAAAACTAATGAAATAAGAACTCAAGCACCGAAAGACGGACTGACAGTAATATGCAATAAGAATTCTTAAGTACAGGTAGACAAACAGATAGATATATAGCAGAAATAAATAGGAAAGCAAAACTAATACATGTATGCATAACAATAATTCATAAGCACAGAAAGACAGACTGACAGATAGATAGCAGAAATAAATAGGAAAGCAAAGCTAATAATAATATGCAATTAAAATGCATAAGCACAGAAAGACATACTGACAGAGAAATAAAAAGTTAAAAGGAAAGCAAAACTAATAGATCTATTCAATAAGAATTCATAAGCACAACAAGTCATTTATCTATTTGTTCGAATCTGGTACAGCGACAGGCAAAATGTCTACCATGAGGGCTATCCAAGTGTCCCAGTTTGGCGGGCCAGAGCAACTGAAACTGGAGACGGTGTCGGTTCCTGTTCCTAAGGAAGGAGAGGTAGGATGTGGGGGGGGGGGGGGGTTCTTTACATGTGTCACAACGTGGTGGAATCAGGCACTCGTCAATTTGTTCACTTGCCTTTTTTGGTTTTAAAAAAAAAATCCATCTATGATGAATAAAAGTCGAAATATTTGCGATTGAAGGAGGTCAGGGTTGCCTGGTTTCAGAAATAAAATTAGCGAGAAAATAGCCGCCAATGTGTGGCGACTTCCAACGTTTGAAAGTACTTAGAAACTGCAAATTGACATTTTTGTGCCTTAAATCAACATTTTTCAGTGAAATCCACGTAGAAATATGTTTTTAAATGGATCTTAAAGCTGTTGAGTCAAAAAACAAAACAAAATCTCAAACAAAACATGATAAAAATGTCAAAACGGATAGCAATTGCCTGTTTCTTCGGTTTCATTATTTCGACAAGCGCCTGTTTTCACCATGATGCCTCACACGTGGTTTTTACACTACTCTTTCTCTTCTGTGAGTATTTTCGTACCTGCGGGGCCCTTGTGGTTTTTATAGTACTCTTTCTGTTCTGTGACTATTTTCGTGTCCCTGTCATTGTTAGTACTCTCTCAAGGCGCTAAATCAAAGTAATGTTTGCCCCCCCCCCTCTATCTTGGTGTATAGTATTCTGTTGTTTCATGGTTGTTGTTGTTGTTGTTGTTGTTGTTGTTGTTGTTGTTGTTGTTGTTGTTAGAGTAGTTGTTGTTTCCTTTCTTGTCCTCCTCATCATCATTGTCGTCATCGCTTTTATTAATGCTCTTGTTGATGTTGTTGTTGTCGTTGGTGGTGGTGGTGGTGATGATGTTGGTGTTTTCGTTTCTGTAGTTGTTGCCTTTGTCTTTGTTGGTGTTTTTGTATCTGCCGTTTTCTCACCTCACACCAGAAGGAGGATGGTAAAACGAGAACGTGCTGTTATGTTTTACAGCACAGTCCATTTCAGTAATGTTGCAGTTGCTGCTGTTGTTGTAGCTGTTCTTGTTTTCTAACCTACCACACCAAAGAAAGTGGGTGGTTGGCGGGTGTTCTGGTATGATTAGCTTCTTCTTTCCTATCAAACATCTATCGTCTTTATCCCCCTCCTTCTTTTTTATGTTTGATACCATCTTGTAACGCCTCTAATCTTCAGCACTTTTACTTATATGAACTTATTGTATTGCAAATGCCCTAAAACACTTACTACAACTAAAAACACCCAAAAAAAATGGAGAAGAAAAAACGGATAGGGGAATGGTTTTAGAGGCGTTTTCTGTTTCCTTATTGGTGTTTTTCCACTGCTGCTGCTGATGTCAATGTTGTTGCCTTTCTTGTTGTCTTTTATCCTTCACCCAATTAAGGAGAAACACAGACGATAAGAACATGTAGGAACTTTACAAATTATCTTTGCTGTTTTTTGTTTTTTGTTCTTGACACCTTATTTTCTTTAATCACTCGACTCTTTCTTCATATCTATTTCATAATTGACTCAGTTTCTGTGATTGTTGTGGGTTTTTCTTTTATTATAACTCATGTCCAAAGGCAGAGATGAAAACAAAACTTATAGAGGTCTTATAGATTATCATGATCGCTACTGTTGTTATTTTCTTTCCTTCTCTGTATTGTTTCCTTGCATTATTCAATTTAATCACGTGTTCCTTTGATGCCATTCTTATATTTGCCCCATATTTTGTTCATCGTGCTTTTTGTTTCAACATAACCAACAATTGGTATTAACAAGAACTGACAGAGGTCGCATTAAATTATTGTCGTTGTTTTTATTAAGCTGTTACTGTTATTGTTTCCCTGCATTCTCCAATTCAATCACCATTTCCATTAATACTATTCTTTATACCGGCATTTCGTTACCTTGGAACTAAAAAGTTCTCTCTGCTCAGTAGCTATAGTTCTGAGATATTTAATGTTAACAAATTTGAGTTTCTCAGCATGTCAAGCTTTTTCAAATGCAGTTCTTTTAATATTTTGATAACTACTCCGAATAACCTTACGATTTTGATAGAACAGATAGAACGCTTACTGATTTTTGACCTCACGGTCTTGTAGTAACTCAAAAAGGCAAAAACAAAATATCAGAAAAAAAGTGTAATTCTGAGGTAACGATTTGTCTCAGTCACTCATTTTAAAACAACTTTTGTTTTCCACAAAGGTACTTATTAGAGTCATGGCTGTTGGGGTAAACCCCTTCGAGACTCACGTGAGGGCCGGAGAGTTCGGACCCAGAAACATGCCGTTCACACCTGGAAGTGACGCCGCTGGATTCGTAGAGAAGGTCGGCACAGGGGTCACAGAGTTCAAGGTCAGTGGTGTAGGTCATAGCTGGCTGCCGTCTTATTACAGCTTAAACTAGGAAGTCCCTGTATTTGAACAACGGGTGTAGCGGCGACTTTAGAAAGGCGCCTCTCTGTGTCTGTGCGTCCAACCGGACCTCTCACATTTCTCTCTCTCTCTCTCTCTCTCTCTCTCTCTCTCTCTCTCTCTCTCTCTCTCTCTATCTCTTTCTCTCTTTATTTCTTTCTTTCTCCCTCTCTCTCTTTCTCTCTCTCTCTCTCTATCCTATAACACTCCTTCGCTCTCTTTCTCTTCCTCTCTGTCTCTATATCTCTACTTCTCTTCCTTTCTCCCTCTTTCTCTTTCTCTCTGTCGTTATCTCTCTCTCTTTCTCTCTTTATTACTCTCTCTCCTCTCTGTCTCTCTCTCTCTCTCTCT